CGAACAGGAAGCCTGACAGGGAGGGAGGGAGAAAGAAGGAACCGGGCCAAAGGGGGTGCCGGGGAGGAGGGAGGGCCCGCCCCAGGGAGGGGAGGCCGCTCTCTCTCTCTCCGGGGGTTCCCTCTGCTCGGCTGGGCGGGTGTGTGTGTGGGGGGGCGCATTCCTCCAGCAGCTCCTGGGGCGGCGTCCGGCCCCTCCCGCACCTCCTCTCACCTGTCATGGTCGGCGCTCCGGAACCGAGGCAACATCTGGCGGAAGCTGCTGGTGCGGTCCAGTTTGGGCTGGCTCTTGGTCCGCTTGATGGAGCTCTTCAAGCGCCGGCTCAGGAATCCCTGCTGCTGGGGGGGGGGGCAGGAAGACACAGAGGCGCGCGGCTGCTGAGACCACGGGCCACACGGGACTCCCCCACACACACCAGACGAGGGGCCCAGAAAGAGCACCCGCGGGCGCGTCCCCCCACCCACCCACCACCACCCACATGCAACCCCCCCCCAAGGGCCAGAACAGGAGCGTCACCGAGGGGGGAGGACGGGATCTTCCCGGGACCTTGAACGCGGCTGCAGCGGTCTCTTGGGGCCTGATCCGGACCAGGGCTACGGACGGGGAAGGACTGAACCCGTGGCACCCATCAGCACCAGGCCCCCACCCCAGCAGCCGCCTGCGCAGTTTGTCATCCCGGAGGGAAACGAGCGGCTTTGACGCGGCTGGAGGGGGGGGGGCACAGTTTAAATCAACAAAACTCCATGGGGGGGAGGACTCGTTCTCTTCCTCCCTCCAATAGGGGGGGGGAGGAGAGCTGCTCTTGAAATTACCCCTGGGAAAAGCCACCCCGGGGCCCCCCGTGCCTCCGCTGAGGCCTCCTGAACACTGGTGCCCATGGCTGGCCCAGAGCTACCGGGGGGGGGCTATCAGGGGCGCTGCCCCCTTCCTCTAAGGGCCGTCTGCCTCTTAAGGGCCCCCTGCTTTTTCCTAAAGGCCTTTAAAGGGATCCTTTAAATGCTTTTGAGAAGAAGCAGGGGTTGCCGCGCGCCCCTCTCCCTCCACCTCCTGCAAGACTTAAAGGGCCCTCCACATACTCCCCGCTGGTCAGCTGGAGGGCCCTTTAAATCGTGCAGGAGGGAGAGGGGGGTGCGCCAACCCCTTCATTAGGGCCAAGAATGGCAGCCCAACCAGAAAGCCTTTTGCCCCACAAGATCCGGCCCCGGGGGTGGGTGGGAAGCTCAGCAGGCCCGAGCAGCCGGCCTGGCCATGATCCGGCCAGCCACGCGTCCCAGAGTCACTCACTCTGTCCCAACAACCTTCCTGCTTGCCGAGTGACCACCGATGGCCCGGGCATCCCACTGCTGACCGGGCACAGGGCAAGACCCACCACGACCCGCTAAACTCGCCTGCTGACGAACGCGTCTCCGCATTTCCCCCACGACCTTGATGGATGCTACCGTGTTCCCTGTCTGCTCGGACGCCTAGTTAACGGAGATTATTTTGCCTAACTGAGATTATTTTGCCTGTGCGTATCCACCGCTCTGCCAAGGTGCCAATTCTGCGGCTGCCCACTCCTCCTTCATCCCCGTCCATCCCCTGGAATGCTCCTTCCTCTCTGGAATCTCAGTTTACGGTGATTTAGAAGACTCTGGGGTGTGGGGGGCGGGTGGGAAATCCCCCAAAATTTAGGTGACTCTCCCCATCCCTGTCTCAAAGTCTTAACAAGTTTATGTGTTCAAGGGAGTAGCTGTGAGTTTTAGAAACAGACCAGAATGAGAGATTGCTGAGTTACAAGTTATCACAAGACTCAGGACAATGGAATCCCCAGGGCTTAACAGAGACATTGCTTACTTGTCTCACTGTACATGCTGACCTCATTCAATTCTCGCATCTCCGTGTCATCTCTTTTATTCTGCTGTATGCTAATTCGCTGCTATCCGCAGGTCTTCCCAATTGCCTTCATCCAGTCTTAAGCGATGTTTATTGCTCAGTTTCTTGTGCATCTTGACTCTAATTAGCCGTTCCTGGCCACACCCTCCCCCACCCTCTACCTATTCGCAATGGTTCCGTTTCAACGTACCTCATGCACATGAAAACTTACACACAGAATAAAATTTGGCTGGTCTTAAAGGTGCCACTGAACGCAAACTTTATTCTTCTTCATTTGTACCTTCATGTACTCCTTTAACGTATTTTAACACACCTTTCCTTCCCCACCCCACGGGACTCAACGATATAAATCTGTTGTTGGTTTATTTATTTCCAGGCTCAAACGTTTCCGTGCTTAATTTTGAGAAATTTCTGTCTTGTGTTTTATGGGGTTCTTTGCTTTTTGCTGTGACCAGATTCCTCTTTCAGCCTTTTCCCCAAGGAAATGGCCGATCACCACTCTGGGATCTGGAAGCCATTTTTCTCCAGGCCAGTTTGGCCGGGGATCCTGGAGGGTGTTTTGTTACCTTCTGGGAATGGAGTAGGGGGGTCACCCACCAGGGGTGTGGGGGGGGGAGGGAGGAGGTACCTGTGACTTCCCCGCCTTGTACAGGGGGGTTGGACTAGATGACCCTGGGGGCGAGGGGGAGGGGCCGGCCTGACAGAACAGGGCGGGGGGTTCTCTCTCACCGAGGGGCGGAAGGGGGGCGCTGGGGGGGCGTCCATGTTGATGCTGTACTGCTTCCCTCCAGGAACACTCTTCCGCCGGGAACGGCCCGCGTGGTAATCTGGAAAAGAAAGAGGGGCGAAAGGCTCCAGGCGTGCGCCGGACAAGGGGCGGGCAGGGCGGTACCGGGCACCACCCCACCCGGGAGGCCGTTTCCCGTGCGACGAGGAACGGGGAACCACGGACTTGTCTCTTGGGCGTGTGCAGAGTTGGGGCTTGATGGGGCTCGGTGGCTCAGGGGACCGACCCAAACCCAGCACCTTGCCGGGGACAAAGCCGCTCCGCTCCCCCCGCCCCATGGCAACGCAGTGACACCCTCTCCCCACCGCCGCCCAAAACACAAGAGGCGGGGAAGGAAAGAGGGGCTCGGCAGGCCACCCAGCCGGGGGCACGCACGCCCCCCCCCCCCCCCCCCCCCCCCAGCCCCAGAGGGCAGCGAGCCAAGCAAGGCCCTGGACAGCTCCAGAGTCCCGTGTGTCCCCCACTCCCCCCCCCACAGACACGCAGCAGCATCCCTTGTGAATGGGCAGAGCTGAGCTCAGGGAGCCCAACAGGCTTGGGGGGCGGGCAGGGAACCTCAAATAGCGCAGGGAACTGGCATCAGGGACCAAAATAGCAGCGTGGAAGCCTGGCTCATCCCCCCCCACCCCACCCAATCCATGAACCCAAACACCACCACCACCACCCGTTTGGCAAAGCCCCGCTTCCTCCTCAGGGACGGGCACACTGGAGAACCCCCACCCCACCCCAGAGGGTCCCCTCGCACAGCCACTGGCCAGAGAATACCTCCAATGCTCCCTCTAAGCCGTGGGGTCTTGTGAGCAAAAATTCTACTTTGTGAGCTCCTGGCATTAAAGTTGTGAGCAAGAGATTTGGCTGCTGGATAAACTAGTTTGCTCTGGAGCCCCATCCCTTCCTGAGCCGAGACAAAAATGTGTGAGCCGGAGGCTCAAAAACTGTGAGCTAGCTCACACTAACTCAGCTGAGAGGGAACACTGCCTGTGTCGTCCCCCCCCCCCCGCAACGCTTCCGCGGGCCCTCATGTTTG